GTCCAAATGTGAACACTGGTGGCGTTTGGGGGTTATATTTGCTGGGATTTATAGTTCACCTGCAATCAGAGTGCAAAACAGTGGCACCTCGTGGCCACGGAGAGCAGAGCGGCTGGAGCAGAAGTTGCTCGCGATTTGCGGAATGGTGCCGGGTGGGCGTGGCCAGGGAACGCCGGCTTCCCTGGCCACGCCCACCCGGCGCCGCTCCACCAATGGCAGAAATTCTCTGCTCCGGGCGCTGGACCAAACTTGCCACTGATAATAATAATGATAATAATAATAATAATTATTATTATTATTATTGATGTGCCCAAATGTGTCAAACCTTTTCAGAGTGGCGCTGCAGGGCTTGTTCTCCCGGCGCGGCTAGGAGTGGAGTGGGAGACGCCTTGTGGCTGCGGAGAGCAGAGCGGCCGGAGCAGAGGGTTCCCGCTATTGGCAGAGCGGCGCCGGGTGGGCGTGGCCAGGGAACGGCGTGTTCCCTGGCCACGCCCACCGGCGCCGCTCCGCCAATGGAAGGGAACCCTCTGCTCCGGCCGCTCTGGTCTCCAGAGGACCAACCTGGGAGGCTTCTCCCTCCCACACGAGCAGAGCGGCCGGAGCAGAGGGTTCCCGCGATTGGCGGAGCGGCGCCGGATGGGCGTGGCCAGGCCAGGTCATGCTGCGCGGGCCGGAGAAATGCCCTCTGCGGGCTTCATACGGCCCACGGACCATAGTTTGGGGACCCCTGTTCTAACACTTTTCACAAGTTTTCTTCTTACACTGGTGATAAAAATAGGTAACTGTTCTTTTCAAATGGTAATTCTAAGAGTAAGGCATTCAAGATTGGGGACCTGAACAACTTAATGAAAACTTCTGGGGAGAAAAGTTTAGAAATCAATTATTGAAGGGTAGGCAACTGCAGCAAGGGCCAAATACTCTTTTATGTGTTGGTCAAGTGCTCTGCAAAAATACTGCATCTATGTGTATTTAAGTATATTTGAGATAAAGGGCCTTCTCAGAGCTTACTCCCAAGCATTTGAAAACTGAATGTTTTTAAAGGAAGAGTTTTTAATAGCGTGCTGTACACTGAAGCTCCAGTATCTTGCAACCATTTGAAATAAACTGTGAGGCAGCTGCCAGTTTATTTTTTTGGAATAGTTTCCTGCCTTGTGCTTGCCCACTTCCTTTTTCCTATTCTCTGATTTCAGAGATAGTAATCAGTAGGGCTGAGATTCATGTAGCTATTCAAATTTTATTGTTCTCCACGTCCCAGCAGCTCTAGCCAGGATAAACAACAGTGAGGAACACTGGGAATTGAACAATATCTGGAAGACGCCATGATTACAATCCCTGGGATACATTCACTATAAATCCAACCACTATCATCCATTAATTCATCTAACCTTTTAAAAAATAGACCACACTAGCAGATATCACTGCATCCTAGAGCAGTGAATTCAGAATGCACTGTGTGGCATAATCCATTTATCTGTTCTGAATCTCTCCAAATTCAGCTTCCATTGAAGATTTTAGGATCTAGTATTATGAAAGAAGGAAGAAAACTTCTCTTTACATTCTTCAAACCAGACATACCTGTATTTCCTGAACCAAATAGAACCAATGTTCAAGATTTACTAATATGCTTTGAAATGCAACAGCAGCAGAATTACTCTTATCCTCTTTCTCCTGCCATGACTTTCTAGGGACCAAAAACCTTATTTGGGTGATTTCTCAGTTCTCCTGAGATGGGATTTCAAGGATGCACAGAACAATGGAGCTGTAGGATTCCAGCAAACTATCAGAAAGTACACCACTGGACTTGATCCAAATTGCCAAGTGTTCAAGACCAGGGCTTCTTAAACTTTTGCAACTGTGACCCCTTTTAGCTTGAGAAATTTTTTATGCAACCCCAGGTACATAGGTATATAAAATAGGCATAAAAATCAACATTTACTGGTAACAAATTAGCATTTGCAAAGCTTGCTAAACAGGCTGTTTTTCTTTTTATTAAGTACAGTTGAAGCATCTTCTGCAGAGTCCACTGTAAACACTACATAACAGATTTGTGTCAATGTCTAAAAAAGCATAACTCACTATTTCAAATGTCCTTTTCTCACTGGTCTGTTATGATGATGAAATTCTTTAATTCAAAAAGCAACCATATAATGCTTGAAAGAAAGGTTAAATTCCAGTGAGGAGAATGAATTACATATAAATGACAAATCACATACCCCAGAGGTTTTTCAAGTAAAAGATTTAGAAAAGTGGTGGTCAGAGGTTTACGGGCACAGTTGTCTTTACGGGCACAGTTGTCTGAGAGCAAAAATTGCCCCCAAATTTTCTGAAGTAGCTCACCTTGGAGCTGTAGACAACTGCTCAGAGCACAACCTTTATGCATTAAATATTGCATTATCAAAAAAATCTTAATATGCATTATCTTTGATCTCTACAGTCCTTGAAAATAACGTAAATATTTACAATACAATCCCTAATGAATGTTATGATTTCACTACTTCTCCTATTTCAACTAACACATTTTACTAATTCCCATAAATCTTGTCATCTTAAAAAATATGCCAGATTTTAAAAATAGTACTAAAAACATTTTCATAATTTAAAAAAAGTAAAATGTAATACGTATTTTCCTGAATACTAAAAAAAATTAATTTGAATATCTACGTATATTATTCATTCCACATGCCTATTTGAAGAATAATATATTTCAAATAGTGTATTGTCCCAGAACTGTCAAAACAAGAAGCAAATTCTCTATATTGAACCTAATTCATTCAATAGGTAAAAATAAAAAAGACTTGTTTTAAGGATTAAATAACTCTATCTAAACATATATCGATGATGTGAGATGTGAGAATAAGCATCTTAGAAACACTGGGGGCCTGGAAAACTTTAGTGGGGGTGTAGTGGAAGCTTGGTGCTCTGTAGCTCCCAGCTGTTTTACCAAGGTCAATCCAGTATAACTGACTGACTAACTACATTTTACCCAATTTAAAAGTGTGCAATCAAGTGTTTGATATGGATACTGGACTATTCCCTAGGGTAGCCAGAAAGTTAAAACAATACTGAGTTTGGGAATTAAGCCGGCAACATGTTTTAATAAAAGACTTGACATAAAATACATAGGCAGGTAAATGACTGTTAAATTAGAGAAGAAGCATGGAAATCCTACCACAAATTAAGACGAATGCAACTAAATAGCTGGCTGACAGCAGAGCAAAAAAGAAGAAGGGGGAGGTAAGAAAATGAACAATTGGTGATGCAATGGTAGCTGAACTTTGGGAGGGCCAGCTGTTTGAAGGGCCAGCATTTGAGCTGGAGCCCAGCAGTGCCCAGCAGTTTCTTCAGCCAAGCTTGGAAGAAGCTGGCAGCAATTTCAGGAGCTGTGACCTTGGGTTTTCGGTAAACTCTGGTGTTGTGAACTTTGGACTACCCCTTAAATTCTGGCATTCGGATTTTTGGATTAATCTTGGACTCTAGACTATTGGAATTAGCTCTGGATCCTGGAACAGCCTATTAGCTTCCCTAGTGTTATTCCTCTTGGCTAGATTTTGTGGTTTGGACCGTATGCTAAACTCCTGTTTGGAAATAGGGTCTTGACTATATGATATTACATTTCAACAGCTGCAGCCCTACCCAGATAGCCCTGGCCTCGGTTATACCTCAGAACAAGTAAATGCAATACTCTCTAGGTGAAAATGCCCGTAAAGATAGCTTAGAAACTTATTTGTGCAAACCATGGCCACCATGGAGCTGACTGGCAGCATCCTTCCTACATTATGAACAACATCAATTACCAATCTATTTAAAGATCCGATTTAAAGTGCTGATAAGGCAAAAATTAGGGCCCCTTGGTGGCACAGCAGGTTAAACCGCTGAGCTGCTGAACTTGCTGACTGAAAGATTGGTGATTCGAATCCAGGGAATGGGGTGAGCTCCCACTGTTAGGCCCTGCTTCTGCCAACCTAGCAGTTCGAAAACATGCAAATATGAGTAGATCAGTAGGTACCAGTTCAGCAGGAGGGTAACGGCACTTCATGCACTCATGCAGGCCACATGACTTTGGAGGTGTCTACAGACAATGTCGATTCTTCGGAGATGAGCACCACCCTCCAGAGTCAGACACAACTAGACTTAATAGGGGAAACCTTTACCTTAAGGCAAAACTGGTCAGGACCAAGTTATCTTAAGGACGTCTTTGCTCATACAATCTTGCCACAAGGAGCAAATATTACGTTGGAACAAAGCAGGGATAGGAGCTTTTCAGCAGAGGCACCACAAATGTAGAAATTTCTATCCATGATAATTTAACAAAAACTATATACAGTGGCTGTGTTTATGAAACTCCCTCCTCCTGAAAATCTATACCAATTGACTTGCATAAGCTTCAAAATGACACATTTTAAATACTTCTAAAAATATCTGAAACATAATTTCAGTGAAACTATAGGCAACTGGAGATATATTCATGGAAGAAGAAGGTAATTTCAGCATTGCTCAGTAATTTATCTGCAGCTAGCATGAGAAATTTTAACAGCATGTCTGTTCTGATGGATGGTGAACAATAGGATTTAAGTTTAACTGTACACATTTAACAGAGTTCATTTTAAAGAGAGAGTTCATTTTTAAAGACTTTCCAAATGTCATATTTCCCAGAAGCTTGAAGACATACCTTCTGATATTGAGTCTTGTTAATTAAGTTATCTTTGTACTTGAACTTTTGTTAGCCAGATTAGACAATTGTAATATGTAAGGCTAGAAATCTAAAGCTTAACTTAGGCATCACAGTTGAGAAACATAGACAATTGGTTTATTGTTGGGTGTCTGTTAGCATGGAACACAAACAAATACTTTTAAGCAAAAAAGCAGCCATCTACTGTACTTCCAAATCTTACAAGAACAACTTTGCAATATTATCTATCATTTCATTTCAGTTCCACAGAAAGACAAATATGCGCACAAGTATCCAAAACTGGCATAGGTGATGCAAAAAGTAAACTCACTGAAAGGTAGCTGCTAACATCCACGTTATCGGTGATGGTCTGACGTTCTCCTCGCTGATTAATCTTCCTAAACCTCCTTCGAGATTGACGGAGGGGCAGTTCCCTTTGCAGAATATTGTCCTCATTTTCTTTTGAGTTATCCACCTGAAATACATGTTCAGGATCTTGATTAAACATCCAATTTCTCCATATCACTGAAAGTCTATGCAATTTTGAAAAGCTCATGAGGACAGGAACAACATGAACTAGGAACGAGAGATCACCATAAGGCAAGTTATGCAAGTTTCTGAACCTGGAACTCCACGCCTTCGATGAAGTTGTTATAATGAGCTGGGAGGCCACAGCTTCCTTCCTGGAAACAGCATTTGAGAAAGAAAGAAAAAAGCTACACAATACTACTTAGCCAGCTATAAAAACCGTTCACTCAGATACCACATTAAAAGCAGAATATTATATAGCTACAGTATAAAATATACTAGCTTTATCACGACATATTGATGCTATTTCTTACTACAGATACCACTTTCTTTCAAAAAGTTGCTGAACAACACGTCTAAAACACAAAAACTACCTTAAACAGAATACATCAGATAATTTTCATTTTAAACTGTACTATTAGTCATTTAAACCTATGAACATTAATACAGCTCACCATATACAATTCATGTACCACTCGCCACTCACTATTTCAGTACTTTGCAAGTATAAAGCAAATTTTTAAAAGAGGTCAAAATGATGAATAAACTTAAGATCTTATTAAAGTCTTACCTGCAAACAAACCCTGTCGATTCAAATTTTATAGAGTTGTTTTTAACTGTATTAATTCAGGCTGACTATGCCATTCCCCCCTCTCCAATTGTTTCTTTACACTATAAAAAGCAAGCCAGCCCTATCTTCACATGTCCTTTTTGAATCTCTGCAGGAAACAGCGGAGACAGATATGTATATATAAACAAAAACTGACAAAATTGTATATGCAATAACCCAAACACATTTTATCTATTTTTAAAAGATGTTTATGAAGGAAATGGCCACATGTCTTTCCTAAATATGATAATTGTCACTACAACTGGCTGAAATGTGTCAGACTTGGCCACAGTGGTCCATGCTCTCGTGACATCTCAAATAGACTATTGCAACATGCTCCATATGGGGTTGCCTTTGAAGACTGTTCAGAACCTTCAAGTAGTCCAACTGGCGGCAGCCGGGTTTCTAACTGGAAAGACTCACAGGGAGCATACAACACCTCTGTTGAGCCAGCTCTACTGGCTGCCAGTTTGCTACTGAGCACAATTCAAAGTTCTGGCCTATAAATCCCTAAATAGTTCCGGTTCAGACTACCTATCTGAACATATTTCCCTTTATGAGCCAGTTAGAGCATTTAGATCAGCTGAGGAGATCCTGCTCTCGGTCCCACCACCCTCACAGGTGCAACTGGTGGGGATGAGAGACAGGGCTTTCTTGGTGATGGCACCTTGGCTGTGGAACTCCATCCTCAGTGAGATCAGATCGGCCCCCTCCCTCCTGACGTTTGAAAAACTCAAAATGTGTTGTATTTTATATTCTGTGAGGCATTGACTCGTGCCATTTACTTTGTTGCGAACCACTTTGCCCCCTCCCCCCAGGTTGCGAAAAGCGATATAAAAAGGAAATATCGGAATTTCCAAAAGCTTTAGGTATTTGAATTGTGGCGGTAACCCCATCTTCTCTCCCCTGAGCATAAAGGTGCCTGCTCACTGGCAGGTTCCTCATTTCCATGGCCACAGCCACAGTCTTAGAGGAAAATGGCAGAGAGCAGAGTGGAGAAAGGGCACCACTGTATAAATTCACTGATGACCACTCGAAGAAATACAGTTACAGGTAAGCAACCTATCCTTCTTCATGGTCTCTGTGAATCACACAACTGGAGACAAGCAAGCTGAAGTACTGGAGGAGGGAGCATGCCACACTAGTCAACTTTTATTAAAGAACCAAATGACTGAAACGCATGTAAACTAAAGTGCATAAGAAGAGAGGTCTCAACATATAATAAAGCACAATAAGCTTGAAAAGGTTTCTGTGTTATTAAAAATAAACCATGAACAGTATTTATACAACAAAAATGTTTTTGCAGGAGAACTTTTAGCATTTGGGTATGCAAAGGTGCACATTCTAACAGTTACTGAAAGAAGTAGGTATCATAAAAGTATGCATTCTATGAAACACAAGAAAGGAATACCAAGCAACCGAACACTAACTGTGTCTTTAGATGGTTGACCATCAAGTCTAAAATGGGTCACAAAGGTTAAGGGGTTTGCCCAAATGGCAGCTCGACATATTGAGTACAAATAAGGAAGGCAGTGGAAGCAGCAACTGCCCTGGTGGGATGGGGACATATGGCCGATGGAGGGTTCCTTTTGACAAGGTTGTTAACAGTGTTTGATGTTGGAGGCTATTCGACAGTCTCTGAAATAATATAGATGCCCTGAGACTGGGGGCAGCACAACAAAGAGTTTATTAGATTGTCTAAAAGGTTTGGTGTGCTGTCGGTAGGAAAGCAACACCCTGCAAATCTAAGGAGTGTAATTTGCGCTCGAGAAAAGTATCAGGGTTCTGGGCCAATTCCAGTAGAACAATGTCTTGGTTTAGATGAAATGATAAAACCACCATAGGCAAAAAAGACATGTCTGATCTAAGAACCACTCAGTCCATATGGAAGATCAGGTATGGCGGGGGGAGGGGTCCACTAGGAGGGCAGAACGTTCTGAAGCCCTTCTCCCTGGTGTGGTGGTTACCAGGGAAGTAGCCTTCCATGAGAGGAGGAAGAGGTCACACGTTGCCATGGGTTCAAATGGTGGCCCGGATAGTTGTGACAGCTCCAATCCCAGGCTCCAACCTGGGGGTGCTATTGGGGAGTGAAGATTTTTATAACCTTGTAGGAAGGTTTTGATCCAAGGATGAGCAAAACAGGATGGTTGACCCCGGCACTGCAAATGCCATGAGATGGCAGCCAAGTAACACCCCCACCCCCTGAAGGGTTGTATTCAGTATTCAACACATTCTGAACTGGTTGCAGGAGGTCTAAAACCTGATTTTCCATGTCTTGAGGTGCAGGGAGGCCACATAGGGGTGGAGAATTTGGCTGCTCTATCTGTAGGAGGTCTGTGCAGTGTGGGAAGTGATAGAGACAGGTTGACTAGAGTGATGTACTAGGGTTGCCTGGCCCATCCCAGTGTTATCAGGATGCAGGGTGTGTCCTGTAGAGTTAACTTCTCAATCACCCTGATGACCAAGGGAATTGAGGGGAAGGCATAGAAAAGGGATCCTGTCCAGTCCAGGAGGAAGATATTATCCCCGAGACATCCCCAGTGTCGATTCGAGAGCACTCGAGAACAGAAGAGGTTGAACTGTGGTATTTGAGCTGAATGTAAACAGGTCGATTCACGATTGACCCCATCACTGGAAGAGTGGTTGGAGATCTTTGGTGTCAAAGTGCCAATTGCGGCAGATTTTTTACGTTTGGCTCAGGGCATCTGCGAGACTGTTCTCTTCTCCCAGGAGATGGCCACTATGTTGTCTAACAAGACCTGGACCATTGATCCATGAAGGACCCTTTGGAAGGTTTTCAGCACCTTAAATATTGCAAGTAGTTCTAGAAAATTGATGTGTTTCTGTGTGCCTTTGCAACTGTTGCAACGGGAGGCCCAACTGGTCATCGAGGAGTCCTTCATGAGTGAGGTGGACAGTGTTGGGAATCAGCCTGTGTTTGTGTTTCAGGATCCTGGTGTGGGAAATGATGAGAGAAATGATGGTGCTGAGGCTGAAGTACAAGATGAAGATGGTTTGGTCAATGATTTTCATGCAGACAATGACAGAGAGGCCCCAGTGCAAAGGACAGTTTCTCATGAGAACATCCCTGCTGGACCTCTCTCTGTGAGCTCTCAAGATTTGGGTTTCGAAAACAATCTGACACCTGGGAATGTTAATGAGCAGCCAGAGCCAGATAGAGAGCTGAAGAATAGGTGGCTGGAGACTAGCCAGAATCGACAGCAAACTCAGTGTTTACGTCGCTCTGAAAGGCTTCGTCTGATAAATGTGTAAATGTGAGGGGTAAATGTGAGGGAAAGCGAAACCATTTTCTGGATTTTGGGATATACAGTTTGCCTGAAGGGAAAACCTGTTAGATCAGGCATTGTTTGGAAATCAAGTTCATGTGCCATGGAAATCCTGTTCAAGGGGTCTTGTTCCTGTGGAGGTTTTTAGCCTTTTGGATTGTCTTTGCATCCTGTTGATTCCTGTTTAGACAAATGTTGTCTTGGATTGCTTTTATATCTGATGTGGACATTGCTTTGTGTTACTACCTTTTATGGACATTACTTTTGGGAACTTTCTTATTTTCTTACAAGCATTTATTTCTTCTGGCTATTTACTAAGCTTCAATAAAAGAAGATTTGTTTCTTCACTCTTCGTGTGGGGTGTTTTAAAGTCAGAGGACTTTTTCCTGACCTAGAGTGCAACAGACAGATGTGGAGAGTGTCCCCTTGAGAGAGTAGTAAGAATACAGAGGATGCAGTCACTATCTGAAACCGTCTGGGGTGGATGAATTCGTTGAGGTCCTGGAGATCTAGGGTGGGTCTGAGACCACCGTCCTTTTTGGGTACGACAAAGTCGTGGGAAAAGGCGACCTGTGGATATTCATCCTCTGGCACCCTTCTTCAGAAGACAGTCAAGCTCCTGCAGCAGGGCCTGTGATTCTGGACATGGGTATTATTCTGGTGGGGGCAATGACTCGAATTCCAAGGCATAACCTCTTCTGAGAGTGTTTAGTACCCACACATCTGAGGTTATGGTGGACCAGATGGGATCATGCGAGATGGTCCCTGAATAGTGGTACTGAGTAGAAATAGGTGTTTCTGGTGGTGGCAATGGTATTGGAAGACAAATCAGAGTCTGTTTGTATGATGTCAAACTCTTTGTCAAGCCTGACCATTGTTGCCAGTGAACTGGCATTGACACTGGCGTTGTAATGGTCTCCTGTTTCCTGAGCCCGCGGTAATGAGAGAGGATTGTTGGTGTTGGGGCTGAGGGCAATAAGGTTATAATGCCACAGGGGCCAAAAGGACTGCTGGTGTTGGCTTTGTTGAGGTAGGCCATATTTCTTTGCT